CCATCTTAAGATGGAAACGCATGCAAATGTGGAAGGTGTCATAGAGGACATCGACATGTTTTTTGCTTCAAAGCCAAGTGATTTCTTTATGCAGGGCATTAACAACCTGATTGTAAGTTGGACAAGCATCATCGATAAGAATGAAGACTATTTCATTTAATAAATGTTTTGTTTTAATATATAAGTTGTTCGGGTTTTTTTCATCAATTTCTGGACAACCTAATATTTTTGGTGCCCACCTTATTTTTCAAGAATTCGATATAATTCTAAAGAATAAAAACTAGGCAGTGACAGACACAATGAATAATCATTTAACCCTTTCAACAGAATTTTCTGCCTGCACTGCAACAATTCCAATAGCTTTGTTTTTCTCACATTTCTGGAAAATAAACACTACCTTCAACATATGCTCTGTTTCTACTTTTTCAACACAATTCGTTTTTACTATAACAAACTTTTTAAAGCTACTTAAACATTAAAATTTATGAACTTGATCTTAATATAAGTTATAAAATAAAACAAAAAGTTAACACTAAACCAATGTTGTTAAAAAACATTTTTAAGTATCTATAGCTGGAGATACACAGAGTAGTTGAATTATTTTGCGTGTCGATGGGTTAGTTGACCCACTTTAACCCTTTGACTACTAACATAGGTTTAGATTACATGATTTGGTTTAGCATCTTTTAACTAGAAAACAGTCATGATGGGCTTTCCTCCCGTGCCTCCCATTGGCACAGCGGTATGTTTGCGGGCTTGCAACGCTAAAAACCACGTTTCGATACCCGTGGTGGACAGAGCATCGATAGCCCATTGTGCAGTTTTGTGCTTAACTACAAACACACTTTTCTCCCCACTCCGTCACTGCAGATACATACCTTAAAACTAGGAAGAGAGAAACACAGATGAACTATGTCTAAGCGACACCTTAGCAATAAGAGAGAAACACAGATGAACTATGTCTAAGCGACACCTTAGCAATAAGATTGATAAAGTTATAATTTCATTAAATTTCGTCATGACAAGAACTCATTTTATTTCAGATATAAAACCTAGAACTTGAGGTAACAATAAACACTCCTAAAACTGTAAAGTTCGGCCACAATGTCGAACTTTAAATGACAGTAAGCTACATATTCTAGCACACACGAAAGTAGAAGAGAACAAAACTTGAAATTACACACAATTCATAAATGGACCTTTAACAAAAGGTAAACCCAAGGTCTAACAGGTAACTAAAGTGTAATATATATATATATATGAATGGTTTCATTAGAATAATTTCACGCAAGAATACGACAATATGGAGATACTAGAGTCAGAATGTGGTTTCAAAAATCGAAAATATAACTTAACTGTTTTTATTTAGACATAACCATTGTCTGGTCAAAATGTTAGAAATAATATCATTTACTTGTTTTTAGGATTCTCTCATTATTTCGTGAGTTAAGAGGAATGTTTTCTAAGTAATTGTAATGCACCGGTATAAAGTAGGATTTCGTGTGGTTCGGTCCTCATTAAGATGAGTGATTATACTCCACTAGTATAAAGTAGGTTTACGTGTGGTTCGGTACTCATTAAAATGAGAAAGGTTACGGATGGGTCAGAATTATCAAGATATGTTATTCGCTGGAGTCTCGATAGTGAAAACAATGAAACTGACTATGAAACTAACGGCAACAATCTCATGAACTTTGTGACGTGAAAAAAATCTCACA